CATACACACAGTTCATTAAACAAGCACGGATAGACACGTTAGGCATGGATAATTTGGTTGCAACAACGCTAGGCTGATCTGGGACAGGTTGACTTGATTCAAGGATGGGAATAGAATTGATCTTACACCGGCCCCCAAAATCCGACTAGGATTTTATGAATCATGTTATACAGAATAACCCTCGTGCCCGGCTCTCTTACAAATGACTTCCCTCTAGTAGGCATATCTAACGTATATCGCGCTTCAACTCGCCGTTTCTCGTTCTTATTGTAACCATTCTGACAAGTCCGTCCGCGGATTGCTCGCATCCCGCAAGAACTCCTCGCGGCCAACGCCTAGCCAACCATCTTGCCACCACAGAAATCGTAATGCTCCTCGATCGTCTACTGGCACCTTCACTTGTATAAGCATATCAGCTATGTCCGCGACTGCACCAATAGGCTTTTCTCGAAAGCGCAACTGAACACCAACAAGCTCGGAAATCATATCAGGTTCTTGATATAGCTTATCGTTCAAAGAACAACCTCTAAAGGTTGAAGCACAATCTATAACTCTTCTCAGTTTATCTGGCCTTTTCGTTTTCATAACGGGATGATGTGGAAGATACCACCTCGAATAATAGTTCGCTGCTAGCTGCTCTGGGGGTACCGGAAGCACATAACCATTTTTTAACATCGTATTTATCCCCTCCACATATCGTGCTAAAAGGTTCTTGTCACACGATAACCTCTGTTTCAGATTGAGTAACGGCTTTATGGCGACTACATAATTATTGTCCGTTACCTTTGTCGGATCTTCCCATGGCAAGGGAATGATGTAATGAGCCTTTTCTACTACGGTGCTTTGAGTAACAAACTCGATTGCCTTACGATCTTCAATAGAAAATGAGTTTTTGTTTTCATCAGTATCCTTAAGCTCAGCTTGATGTAGACTTCTGATGTCGTCTTTAATACTGTCTTCGCTGATTCGAGCGTAGTTGACAGTGCCTCTTTCTGTATTTCCATGAATGTTCCGTTCGTCGTCCTCGGCTAACTTCACATGCAACTCGGCCATTTCGACATCATGTCTAGCCTTTAGCAACTTTATCTGTCTCTAACTCTAACTCCTGTCGAAGCTGTTTCTCTTTTAGCTGCGCCCTTAGTAGCGACGACTTAGCACTAGTTACTCGCGATAATGATAATTTCGAACTGTTGACATGAGAGCCGGGGCACGAAAGATTATCAACATGATCATTCATACGAACGGGGACTTGCCGACTCTCCGACTGCTGCTCCGAAATTTGCTTCCCTGATCTGGTTTGCATTGTTCCAAAGAAAATGTATTTTCAACAAAGTTGCGTGCTGTCAATTCACCACAGTTTCTTCTGGACGAACGTTCAGTACTGACCAGTTCAGTACGGTCTTTCCCGTTTTAAGTTGAGTACTGACCAATTCAGTACGGTCTCGATCCGTTTAGCGTTAATTACTGACCAGTTCAGTACGGTCTCGATCCGTTTAGCGTCAATTACTGACCAGTTCAGTACTCTCCGTTAGCGTTAATTACTGACCAGTTCAGTACGGGATTTTCTTCAATGACAATTCCTCTTTCGTTAAGTACTGATCAGTTCAGTACGGTCTCCTCTGTAACGTTAAGTACTGTAAGCGCAATATCGCTTGAAATTAAGTCACGCGTAGATAAAGGCTATCCCGGTCCAGAACAAACAAGAAGCCGGTCATTGTTTCTACGGTACTATTAATAAACAAATCAATAATTATATATACAACAAACCTTAACGGTTTCAAGAGTACAAAGCACAATGCTTAACAGAAAGCAAGGTACCGCTATCAGAGCGGAATAACGTTAAAACCAAAATTGCGAACGAGCCGGAACCAGACACGACCGTTCAGGTAAGCAGTCAGTAGAAGAATGAACCCAAGTAAGGTATGGCATAAAACAGAGAGCGTTTAAGAGAGATAGACCGAGCATAGGCACAAAGATAGAATTTAATTGGCTACTTAACCAGGTAGGAAAATACAGATGAAAATCAATAAATAAGATAAACTCGACAGAATAGTACAAAGTTAGACATGGGTCAGCAAAAATAACAGTTCACAAAATACTCTGATTGGGCCATGAGTTCAACTGTCTGACTAAACGGATCGAGGTAATAACACATACACACAGTTCATTAAACAAGCACGGATAGACACGTTAGGCATGGATAATTTGGTTGCAACAACGCTAGGCTGATCTGGGACAGGTTGACTTGATTCAAGGATGGGAATAGAATTGATCTTACAGTGCCGTTTGCAAAGTATGTAGCTGTCATCCTTCGGACCACTACATATCGTTAGATCATTTGTGAAGTAAACCACTGTTGATATGATGAGCTTATAATATTTATTCATATGTACAGAGAAATCGCGATAGGAAGATAAATTACAGAAATCAGTAGATCAGAACAGTGGGTTGATTATAATTTCATTACAATCCTCCAGAACAAGAATCCTATACCAAAAGATGTGTGCTTATCTTTCGTCTTCGTCTATTCACTTGACTTTCGGGTCAAGCAATCAAATGAAGGAGTTCTCGCTAAATCAGGTATCAGAGAATTCCATGTGTGTCCAACTCTGGGGACAGGGAGTTTGAACGAACGCGTTTAATAATGTACCCTGCTTGATATTCTGGGGAAGCAACGCAGTAACTTTTCGTTTGGATGCCACTCTGGCGATATAAGCTGTAGGCAACTCTGTAGACTTTTAGACAATTAGCTAGTTTCGAGAGTGTACGGAAGCTGCTTTCAGATCCTGCCATCATACCGTCAGTTTGCTTGTCCATAAATAGCCTTATCTATCCTTTTATTGTTGTCCATTAAAGGTTAGCTTCTCTTTCCAGAAATGGTGCAGTAACTTCAAATTCTAAATACGGTAACAGACACAATTTGTAAAACTACTAGAGCGACTAGGTGCCTGAATATGAAGTAGTGGAATGTAATTAGTTAGTCGCCTCCTTGCCAGTTTTTTCAAACAGACTAGTTCTGCCTTATGCCCCACTTGTTGCGACCCTTTACAGCATTAAATCATCTGCACAAGGGAGTAGCGGAGAGGGCAGATTATTCTGTGGATCGATTATGAGATACAGGAAAATAAGTAGATATATACTCTCCCCACGCAACTGCATAAGAAAGGTACAAATGGAGCTAAAATAACCAGTACTTCACTTATAATAAAGGTGACTCATAAATTTTTTGCGTCAGAAAAACGCAGTTTGCCATAAAAGTATCTGTTCGAAGGCGAGACCGAATTGTAAGCATAAAATCATTTGCTTCGATCATTGTGAGCGATAACATGCAGGTGGATGGTCAAAGCTGCAGGAACTTATTTGTGTACACATTCACATCTTCACAGCAAACAGTTCTACTGTTATCTGAGGACTTTTTAGCCTTGTAAGTAATTGTGGCATGACTTTTGATAAATTGGCACTACATTAAGCACTACAGTACCACTCAGATAATTGAGGATATCTCTCGAGTATACACAGGGTTGGCTTCTGTGTGGATTTCGGCTATTATAACTGCACTGTTATGGAGGGGTGTCAGAATGAATTCCGCATAGATGGAGCCTGATTGGCTATCTTTATTTTAGATATTCTCTTCATAATAAATTCCTTCAAACTCTGCCGAGGGTGCCTTCTCCATTTACAGCCCCCGCAATTATTGAATCATCTGCTGATAAGAGGACTGGCAAGATGAGTGTCATTGGGGCAAAGGTACAGGTCAGCTCCGAGAAGTGCCTCCATTGAACACAACTTTCGTGTTGTTATGCTCGGATGAGGTTGAAAAATGTTTTACCTATATACTGTATCCGTCTTGTCAAACTTGGCATGTCACTGGGTAATGTGGACTACTTTGGAGAGGTCAGAATTGGCTACATGAACTATAATCACCTTATGGTGTCGCAAAGACTGTTGTATCACTGTAGCTCTTTTGTCAGGTTGGACTACCATCTAAAATTTCGTTTATTAGCCTGGACATCGCTGCTATCTCGGTTGTTTGTGAGCCCAACAATCGGAGTCATCCTGTCACTCAGAAAAGCTACACAAACATGTATTTTAACGGTTAACTGTCCCACAGACGGTCTGTTTCTAAGTTTGTGTTGTTGTATGGCAATTTAAACCTACTCTTTGGTCATTGTTTCCTAAGATAACCTTGCGTGACATGAAATTCAAGGAAATCCGGTTGAATAGTTGTAACAGTCCGGTAAATACAAAGGGCTAACAGTGTGATAGTTCTGCTCCAATAGTAGATATATCCACTATAAGATCAGCGGAGAGCTTTTGGAGGTGGATAGATTATAACCCATTATCAAACGAAGAGTACCCAATAAAGTTACATATAGACGAAATGCGGATATGGATTCCAGAACTATAATAACCATGGATGACTGTATTTCTTGGTCTTCTGGAGGCAAATAGTTCTATAAAATTAATAACCTTACATCAAAATAAAGTGTTTACCTACATTTTTTAAGTTACCTGGTTAGGCGAATGGTAGACTGTCAAGCATCCGTGACTTTCGGCACCCTGTCATGCTACATTCAGTTACTTGAGCAGGATGCGCAGCTCTACTCATCTGATCCCAAAGTATATATATATATATATATATATATATATATATATCACATTTTTGTATGACCGACTTGTTCTGATTTGGCTTCCGAACGCCTAGCTGGTCTGGGTAGCAGAAGTACAATAGAAGTCGAAAGAAATACACTTGCCTTTGTATGTGGCTGCGCCTTGCATATCTCTTGATTCTTTCAATGTTAATGGGGGAGTTGCAGAAATGTATTATCACAGACTTGAAGCAGATATCTGTATCTGAATGAGAGACACTAGCAACTAGTGTAAAATAATGCTGTTTCTGAAAAACATCTTCAATTTGAGACTATTATAATTACGGCGTATGTTTTTCATCGCAATATTTTCACAATGAAGCTAAAGAGTTGCATATATTTGTTTAAATCCATCACTTTTATTCTAGTGTGTGAGGTTTTATCCCGACTGGTATTTAAATGGATCTGGGGGTTATCGCATGTTCTTACAATGGACATCAAACAGTTTCGTGATTCTGCCGAACTTTCAGATTTTACAGTTTACATAGATAATGAAAGATTCAAACTACACAAGTTCCCACTTTACACGAAGTCAGATTTCTTCAAAGAGATAGCTAGCAGCAATCCTGTTTGTCAAATAAGTGAATTTCCTGGTGGTTCCAAGACTTTCTCTGTTATTGCCGATTTTTGTTACGGCAAAGAAATAAGTGTTTCGTCTCAAAATGTTGTTTATTTGTATGCTGCCGCTGATTTACTCAAAATGAAAGGTAGAGAAAATATGCTAGAGATATCGAGGGAATTTATTGATACTATATTTCGTAATGCCTACGAAACAAAGGAAATTTCAGATTTAATATGTGTTTTATGTTTGGCGTACAGTATGAAGTCTGATGCGGTGAAGAAATTTTATGATGAATCAGTTGAAATGTTGCTGTCTTTATGGCTTCATGAAGAAAGTGGATTCAAACGGCTTTATACTGGTCATAGCAAATCATCATCAGATTGTGGCATACTACACGATGACCAGTTTATAGCAGACTATCTTGTATACGTACCTTTAGGGACTATTATCAAACTGGTTGAATTAGCTAGGGATAAGCGAGTGGATGAAAAGATTATTTTGAATTTATGTGCCAAATACTTAGGTAGAATTTTGGATCATTTTGATGCTGCAGTCCAAGATAAAGGTGAAAATGGTAAAGCTTCAGACGCTCAAAACCTGACGGAGTCTAAAAACGTTGAGGCAAAAGGTATTTATTGATTTATTATATCGGGCTCTTTTAGAAACTTCATGTACTCATGACCATCCGTTTTGTGGTTTAAGTCTACTTGTAAAAATTGACCATCAAAAGAAACTTGAAAAGCTCTATGAGGACAATGCCAGCCTGTCTGAATCCCTTAAAAACTCATTAGAACAGTTCGAAAATATTTTTCAAGTACTTAAACAACCAGTTGATTTGTCTGATTTCATTAATAAAACATGGATTACTAAGGTAAAATATTTTCTTTTTTAAATTTATCATTTTATGTCTGGTAACTTCCTATTGGCCTTATTCATAAATACTACAATTTCATGCTTAGGGAATGTTATGACCTTTAACTGATTTTTATTGGTTTATTGTTCCCTCTGGGCTTATTAGTAGAGTAAATTAAAAGTAATTCTTAATAAATAAACAAACAAGAATGTCTCTCAGCATGCACAGTAAGACACTGCCCGCTGATATATGCTAGTGTATTAAGGTATGGAGATTAAAGTCATGTAAAATATTGCGGCCTTCTTTAAAATTCTCTCACTAAATTTCTACGACACCTTATTAATCTTAGTTAAATATAATAAACCTCTTTTTGAGCTATGTCTAAGCATTAATCTAAGCCTTAATATTGCACATTACTTTCAACTGTAAATTTGCTTGACTATAAAGCCGTTTCCTTGAAATGTAAACTTTGTTTAAAGTTTACATTGACAGATGACTTACTGTATTGTCATTGGCATATATTTTTATTCATCAGCAAGTTTAGAGGAAAACTATTTGTGCATAAAATGAATTTCTATCATCAAAATATGGAACTTTTTCTAATTTCCTAAATAAAAGAAGTGCGATTTAAAGATAATTTAACCATGGACGATCCATTATGGAGCTCTGAGGGATAGTTTAATTTCCCGTAAACTCTTAGTTGTGTTTAAAGACCTCTCAGTAGTGGTTTGTGAAAAAAATTGTATATTTTATAATCCCCGTTAATTTATTTGAGGAGAGAAATAGAGCAGAAAAGCATTAGAAGGTCAATACTGGATAATAACCACCGTCTGCTGCAAAATCTTCGATAATACTGTCATTACCACTAGATAAGAAACAAATGCACTGAGCAACATTCTCTTATAATAGTCGTAATGGCTCATAATGGGTGTTTATTCTTTTCCGATTCACTAGGTTGTGTTTGCCATTTATTTTCATATTGTACACTCTTTTTCACCACATAAACCGTAAATAAACTGTAAAACATAGTTTCTGGTACTTTAGTATTCGCCAATGAGTTTAGTTGAGCGGATATACTATTCCCATGAAATGCTTATGGGATTTTCAGTCTTACGAATTGTAGTTAATTTAGACCTTTCTGATTTTGATTAAAATATCAAGGCTAGCATATATAACAGGAATGCTGTAGGAACTCGAAACTTCTTCTAATTTTGTGATTCATGCTTTAATGTTAATCTCTCTGCCGCAGGAAAGTTTACCTAAGGGTTTTGAATTTAAAATTTTCACATAGGAAAGATAGTAAAAGGTAAAAGAAGGCTTTTTACATACAGAAGGTCCCACAACAAGCTAATCAGTCACACCCTCATTCTAGAATAATTTTAAACATACACTTAGGTGCATTTATTTTGCCTAATCAATTATTTATTATATATATATATATCTGAAAGGAACTTACTAAAATGCAAGATAGTTTAGCAATTCACTTGCTAAAGTAGTGAACTAAATGACTGATTTTTTTTATTGAATTGTATTTTTAAAGTGGAAAGAGAAGTTATTTCCTGGTATGAAAAAGAGCGAAAAAAGTATACAATTTGGTTAAAACACACGCCATTTTCTTGGTGTATTACTACTATTACTCCCTTAGGTCCCCAGTAGAATACACAGCTTTAGCAACCCACCTCCGTTTCATCTTGCTCTCCGCTGTCCTCCATAGCTGATTCTAATGTTAACTGTGAGCTTTCATCTACTCCAAACACGATGTCTTTAATGTCACACTCTGATCTACGCCTGTTCCGTTGTTTCTAATTTGGGTTCCACTCGAAGGCCTGGTGCGGTATGCCACTTTACCTCCTCTTCCGCATATATCTTAGACAAGAGGTTCTTGGCTAGTTTTCCTTGTTTCATGATATAAACACAACTAATAACTGTGTAATTATAACAGCAGAAGACGAAAGACTTGGTATCTCTACATAGCTAAATTATGTACACCTTATCTTTAAGTCACGATTTGCGTAGATCTCATGCATTGTACTATTTCAGCCTTCATATTGTGTTCCTTTCGAGTCTCCCAAGTGTCTTCACAGCGCTGTATCATTCATTTGCTTTCTCTGACATCATATCTATCTCCCTACTATTTGATGTTTTTATGCCGATGAACGTTTCCTTATAGACACATACTACTGATAAATTTTATCAGTAACACACACACTGACACAATTAACTTTATTATATGTACATTATTTCAGGCATTGATACTAACAGATCCAAATCGTGTAAAAACTAAATGTCGACCAGATGTTTTAAAGATAGCCAACAAAATACTGTCAGCTCTGGATGAAGAAGATTATGATCAACTGTCTCCATCTGTTCTTAACGATATAATTTGTGCTAATGATATAAAGGTTGTTAAACAACCAGTAGAAGAAATTACCCGGCTTTCAAGAAGAAGTTCTAAACAACGACAAAGTTATAGTACAGAGGGCAATTTCGATAGTAATAAAAGTGAAAGTCCCAACAACAACAACAACAGAAGACGAAGCAGTGCCAAAGAACACCTGGAAGCAAACGCTAACGAAAGTAATGCTAATCCAGTTGAAACAAGGCTAGAATTACCGGAAACTGTTAGACACCAGATTATTAGATATATGTGTAGAAAGGCTGAAGAACAAAAGCTTACGATGGAGGACTATATACAATTTCTTAAAAAAATTCAAATGCCAAATTCAAAAACTTCGGTAGATGATGATTTGGTGAATATTTTGAAAAAGTTAACCGAGCCAGGTATGTATCATTGAGGCGTATTCACAATCGAAGCATTATAAAGTAACTCTATTCTTTATGTGTCTTATGGCTTGTTAATTATTTAAACATAAATATATATATTTCATTAAGATGTTTACTAATGAGTGACGACAACGAAAACGATCGACGAAAACTTTCTTGTAGGCAGGGGAATTATCAGAATTTTTTTCTGGCAATAGCCCCTCAAGAATTGAAACCCCTTAGGAATAAGGTAAACTGAAACAATATCTTTGGAAAATTGAAAGATATATCAATACTGACATGAAGTTTCAGTCAGTTTTCTTAGTTTTTGTTGTTGTTGTTGTTGCTGGTGTGAATTTCAATAGCCGAACCAACCAAATTATGAAACTTACTTTTATTTTCTGAAATTCCTAGATGAATAGTTTTCAGTACTAGGAATCTGTTGACCGAAATGATAAGTCTTATTCTGACGCATAAACTACTTGAACAGACGCTTAGATATTACTAGGATTAATAACTAAATGTGACTTCTTTGATGATAGCTAGAGACAGAATACAAAGGAGGTGCATTTTATCCGATTTTTGTATTCTTTGAAGAAGTCCATATGGCAAGATCGAGATATTTCAGATCGAGAAATCTCACATCTGTGAATCATCAGTAGTGATAGTGGATAAAACTATGAACGTCCAAGTGTTGGTTTGTAGGGATTTGATTGATTTCAGGATTTCATCATGAGCTGACATTAGTTAGAGAACCACTGGAAAACCTGGGAGTACTGGACAGCTGTTTCGTCCTAGTTTGGGACTCTTCAGCAGTACGCACCCACCGCGAGGGTTCGAACCCAGGACCTTCCGGTTACAAGGCGAGCTCGTATACCATTAAGCCACTGGGACCCGATCCAATGGTCCTTGAATTCTAACTTCTGCCAATTCACGACATAGCGCGACCGCTAGCCAATGTCTTCGGCGAGTATTTGTCCTCACACCCGACCAGCTGCACTATGAACGTCAGTTCAAGGTAAGGGTGTGTGTGTGTGCTAATTTCTGGCTCCCATCACTCTCTGGAGAGCAGATACATTCAGTTGACGAGTCCACAAACATAGGATGAAATGCATCCTAGTTTTTTACTGCCTCAAAAACTAACTAATAATAATTATTTTCTAGAATTTTTAATTCGTTACTATTATTCATTATTTTATTTCATAGGTCAAAAACTATGTGAGGAAGACAAAAAGGAGATAATAAACTATATTAAATTGAACAACTGTACAGCAGATACATTAAATGATGTTCTGGGTATGGATTTATTCCCTCCTAAAGCAATTGCTGAAGCAGCTTTGTACGTTGCAAATCAGGCACAGGTAAGGTGAATTTGTTTGAACAGAATACTTATTGGTTGAACATACACTTTTACCGCTGCGTAGACTAAAAATGACTGAAGGCGTCAGTATATTCTGAACACATTTAAAGCGTATTGATAGCACTATACAAGTAATTAAGAAGTATGGGAATGAGATTTAATTGAATTTAAGATTTTCCCGTCGATTGTGATTGGGCCGAAGTGCTCAGTCTCAGGTTGACATGTCGGCTTCTTTTACAGATGCTTCGACGATGTCTGGGCATTTAATTAATATCTAAATGGTGGGTGGTGACTAGTAGTGGAATCCAGGATAACGCGCATTTCGACTGTCCTATTTTTCAGACTCGTCAGTTGGCTGTATGTACCTGCATTTCTCAGTGAGTGGTGATTTTCCCACCGCCGAAATGTCAATGTCAGCCCTGAGACCGAGCACTTCAGTCCAATCAATCGACGGGAAAATCTCAAAAATTCAATTAAAGAGCTGGCTCTCGTCGCCCAAGTAGTCTGGTGGATAACGCTTTGGTGTTGGAAACTATGGGCACTGGTTTCGAGCCTCGGTGGGAACATCATCACTCACTGAGAAATGCAGGTACATTCAGCTGTGACGAGTCCGAAGAATAGGACGAAATGCGCGTTATCCTAGATTCCACTGCTAGTTACCATCTACCAATTATATGGAAATGAGAGTTGAGAAATTTATATCCCAACCATTATTCGCCTTTATAGTACTTACAATTTAAGTCAAAAAGCCTTAAATCTTTACTACTATGTCAAAATAAGACCGGAAAAATTCTCTAATGATGTACAAACTAGTCAGGATGAGTGAATAATTATTAACTTATTAACTTGAATAATAATTATTCAAGTTAATATTATTTTTTCTTTCATGTTCCCAGTGGAACATTGGACTTCAAGCTAATGGCCTGAAGTTTCTGTAGCAGCGGAGTTTATTTTTACAGGATGGGGTTGCTAACCTCATGCCCCCCCATCCTTTCCTCTTTACCAGCATCATTTCTGGCTTAGCGAAGTAGAGAAGTGCGCCGGCCTGGGATCGAACCCCAAAACCATGTGCATGATCGGCAAGCGTCCTAACCACTTCACCACCGATGTACTCAAGTTAGTTGAAAGGATATAGTAACCATTTGTCATATTTTGTTAAAGATTATTTAGAAAAAATCCGAATAATCTTGAAATTCCGAGTTAACTGCTGACTAGTTGAGCTGAATTCTTTTGTTTAAAAAAACTGATCCATCCACTGAGAATACTCGCTGATGACATTCACCAGTGGTCACGCCAGATTGTGAATTGACGAAAGTTGGAATTCATCGACTGACCACTGGACCACGTCCTAGTGGCTTAATGGTCAACGAGTTCGCTTTTTGGCCGGGCTGTCTTGGGTTCGAACCCATGTGATGGGTGGGTACTTCTGAAGAGTTTCAAACTTGGACGCGATAACTGCTCAGTACTTCCAGTTGATTTTCCACTAGCTCTCTTAACCGATGTCAGTTCATGATGAAATCCTGCAAACCAACACTTGAATGTTATTTTCAGGTAACTTCTTCATCAGGTTATACAATTATAGGCATCCAAAATGACATTTATCGACAGCATTAGTGTTTTTTTAAAATAACATCGAATCAATAAGATCAGTTGATTACAGTTCAAAAGTATCTGTAATTATAATAATATTACTATTGTTTCCTTTAATTCTTAGAGAAACATAGGGCTTCAGTCGCGCGTCGCCACTTCGTTCGGTCCTCCGCCAACGTTTTCACGCCGCTCCAAGTCTGCCCACACGCTTTCATCTCCTATTCACATGACCTCTTCCAAGTCACCCTCTCATTGACGATCAACTCGCCGCTTCCATTTCGGGTTCCACTCGAGCAATGGCTTGTCTAGTGATGTCACTTGATGGTTTATTTTCTCAGAGTATGGCCAAGCCAATTCACCTCTATTTCTTCCAGTCTATTTGTTTCATAATCGGTTCCTGGTTGGTTCACTCATTGCCAGAGATCCCTGTTTCTGATCTTTTCTGGTCGGCCATCTGATCTTGAGTATTGAGCGATGACATCTAGTTGTTAATGAAGGTCTGTAGTTTGTCTGAGATGCTCTTTATGATGCGCCAAGTCTCTGATCCGTATAGTAAGTGGCACTGGCTTCACATTGGAGTTAAAAATCTGTATCTTAATTTTGATGCTGAGTGTTGTTGACCTCCACACAGACTTAAGAGTAATGAAAACTTGTTTCGCTTTCTCAATCTTTGCTTTTTGATATTCTCGTCAGTTCTGCCATGTAGTTGAATCGATGCTTTCCAGGTAGATAAGAAGGTTGTTTCTTTCAAGTTCCTCCCATTTATACTGGCTGATTGTTGTCTGTTGTTGTTGCTGCTGTTGGTGTTGGCCAGGAATCTTCATCACCTCTGTTTTATCTATGTTCACCTGAAGTCATTCTTATCTTTGATGCTTTTTCCACCAACTTGTTGCTTTTCGCTTGCATATCTTTTAGTTTGTGGGAAATCAGGCATTTATCATCGGCGAAGTCCATATCCCCCAAGTTTTTGTGTGAGTCCATTTTATACCCGTAGTAGCGAAGTAGTTGCCAAATCACCTCTCGATCCACACTGTCGAATGCCTTTTCAAAGTCGATGAAGTTGAGATACAGAGGTGATTGCCATTCCAAGCTTTGTTCAATGACGATCCGTAATGTGGTTATTTGATCAAAACATGACTTGTTTCTCCTGAATCCAGCCTGTTCCGGTAGAAGTTTTTCATCCAGGGCTTGATTGATTCTCTTCAGGATGATGCGGCCTAGTATTTTGCTTGGGATGGACAGGAGCTTAACGTTGAAAACTTGACTGATAGAATTAAGTCTACACCAAACAAAGGTCTGAACACACTACACTACAGTCACCAGGTGGTGTCCAATTATAGTATTCAGTACATTCCCCTACAGGAAGTCAATCGTGAGCCTGAATAGCGTGGTGGTAATATCTTTGACTGCAGCGCTCACTGGGTGACGTGGGTTTGAATGTCAGACGAGGTAAATGAGTTCCTTCAAGGTTGCAGATACGCCTTGCTGACTGACTGGTGAGTGGCAACTAGCAAGGAATCTAGGTCCTCAAGGCGTTTTACCTTCAACCATCTAATAGCAACCTCAGTATTACTCATCGTATCGTGCCGTCCAACACGAGAGAGAGAGAGAGGATGCAGGCAACTACTGTTAGAAAGGGGCTAGCAGTTTCGTCATAGCTTACATATTCAAAGCGTATGCCTGATAAATCAAGAGAATCTATAAAAGTACAAGGAAATCTGTATTTAATTGGTGGATGGTGACTAGCAGTGGAATCTAGGATAACGCGCATTTCGGCTGTCCTATTTGGGACTCGTCAGTCGGCTGGATGTACCTGCATTTCTCAGTGAGTGATGATGTTCCCACCACCATCGAGGCTCGAACCTAGTGCCCATGGTTTCCAACACCAAAGCGTTATCCACTAGACCACTTGGACCACGACAACTAGCCACCCTTGTGCAACGGGTCATATTAATTTAATTGAATTTTTGAGATTTTCCCGTCGATTGGTTGGACCGAAGTGCTCAGGCTCAGGTTGAAATGTTGGCTTCGGTCGTACTTCGGTCCAACCAATCGACGGGAGAATCTCAAAATTCAATTAAATTAATATGACCCGTTGCACAAGAGGTGGCTAGCTGTCGTGGCCCAAGTGGTCTAGTGGATAACGCTTTGGCTTTTGAAACAATGGGCATTGCGTTTGAGCCTCGATGGTGGTGGGAACATCATCACTCAAAACTGTATGTTAAATTTGATTAGAAGTAAAAGTTTTGTAATGTTAAACATCACTGTAAATGGTATAACACATGACTTTTTCTTAAATTTTTCATTTCAGGGTAAACAAATTTGTCCTTTCGCCAAGTTTAGAGGATGTTCAGAGTATCCGTACATAGGAGGACTAAGTAATGCTTATTACACAAAACCATCATCTTTACCAATGCGAGGTAGATCTCAATACAGAGATAATCTTCAGTGTGGGTCACATTGTTCAAGAACACTTTACCCTTCTTACACTAATACACTGCGTAGTTCATCATTGAATGCTCGTCCAACAAGTGATTGTAAAGATTTTAATTGTCGTCCACAACCCTTGTTACCATGTTATCCTTTTCAACCATATTCAAATGCTGGCAGCAAATATTGTTTTGATGCATATAGTGCAAAGTATTCAAGTAAGTCAATTACAGTTTAGTTATTTATTCACTAATGAAACTTCACTTTTTCTTTAATCATAACAATAATAATTATTATTATCATATCCTTTAATTCCTAGAAGAACATAGGGCTTCAGTCCCACGTCTCCACTGCGTTCGAATCTCTGCCGACGTTTTCACCCCACTCACAGTCTGCCCACACACTTTCATCTCCTATTCACATGACCTCCTCCAAGTCACCCTTGCACTGACGGCCAACTCACCGCTTCCCTTTCGGATTCCACTCGAGTGATGGCTTGTCTAGTGATGTCACTTGATGGTTTATTTTCTCAGAGTATGGCCTCCAATCCATTTCCATTTCTTCATGCCTATTTGTTGCACAGTCGGTTCCTGGTTGGTTTGCTCATTGCCAGAGATCCCTCGCTGTTGATGATCTTTTCTGGCCATCTCATTTTGAGTATTGAGCGAAGGCAACTGTTAATGAAGGTCTGTAGTTTGTTTGAGATGCTATAATAATAATAATAATGATAATTTGCTTTACTCCAAAACAACTGGCTGAAGAGGCTGGCAGTGAAGACAGGACTCCAGGTGAATACAGTGAAGACGGAGGTGATGAAGGTAACCAACAAACAGCAACAGTTAACCAGCACCAAACACTGTCAGCGGGAGAGATTTGACACAGGGTTATTTCCTTCACTTATCTAGGAAGTACGATTTTAACCACAGGTCAGCCGAACCGATCAAGATATCAAAACTAGTCAACCAGAATCGAAAAGGCCAAATACAACACCTTCATCAATCCATCAACCAGTTTGCAAAATCTTCTGCACTCAGCCAGCCTCCTCAGCATAAATCAAGAACAGGATTTGGATTTTCAACACAAATGTGAAATCAGTTAGTCAGTTCTTCTTGGGGGGGGCGTCACAAAAGATAATTCCAAAAAGTTATGGACATTTATCAACAGATGCCCCCCCTTTGCTGACTCCATACTGAAGACAGAATGACCAGAGAGAATTAGTAACACAATAAAATCTGGCGGGGAACAAACCAACAAGGAAGAGCAGGAGAAAATGAAGATGGATCAGGCATACGCTATTCAGCAGGCCGTTGAATGACATCACGCGCAATGCAGACCGCCATGACTCGAGCGGAATCCCAATGGGAAGCAATGAGTGGGTCGTCACATTGAGGGTGACATGCAGGATATCGTCTGAGGAGGAGGAGGAGGAGGAGGAGGAGGAGGAGGAGGAGGAGATGAGAAATTCAGGGGTAATCGTGACCCCAACCAGCTGAAAAGGACAGCAAAAAAAATAGAACAAAGTGGAGATGTGTGGTTGAAGCCAGCCTTATGTGTTCCACTTGTAACTAAAGAGAAAGAATAATAAAGATTACTGCTAAAATAACAATACTTATGATACAGTGTGAAATTTCCTGCACTTTCTAAAATATTGCATCCAACTTACTTGATAACAGCAAAGAGAAAAAAGAAAAATAATAATAATAATGAAGGGTCTATGCAACCAGGATTGATAAGAGAAGCTATTTTGGGTTTTAGTAGTGATATAGTATAGCATAATAAAATGTAGGTTTCACGTCTAACACTTTCCCTATCATATATCATAACACTGGCCGAATAGGGCATCGTTGAGTTTTTGTACTTGGTTGTAAAAGCGTATAGAATCTTTTATAATGACTTCTAGAATAGATGGGGTGTCAGGAGTTAGAAAATATGAATTTTGACTATTTCTCACGTGAATTCAGGTGTCTACCGTCTACTATAGTAACAGGCTGACTAAGTGGCACATCGCTTGCCGTACTGATAACCCTTAAAACCCTTCACAATATGACATAGTCCTTTTTGGGTAGCCCAGGAAAGACTAAGGCAGAGGAGTAAAGTAAAATAGGTAGGATGCAAGAGTTAACAAATTGTAAGAGTGGAGATGGAATGATTCCTGATTTACCGATGACATTGGACAATTTGTAAGTATTCATTATTTCTTCTGCGTCGGTGGCACAGTGGTTAGGACTCTCGTCGACTATGCACATGGTCCGGGTTCGAGCCCACACCTCGACGCACACCTGATATCTATGATCGACCTGAGAAATTTGGGCTACCGATATCCACACTGAAAATTCCATACTTGTACCAAAAATACGGTGTGGAATCAAGCTGTAATAAAAAATATAAAAAATATATATAAAATATATTGATTATTTTTGGGATTTAGATTAATTTCACTTATGACATTTTCTCTTCAAGAATCGACATCATGTAGTGAGATTATTGCAAAGCGGGAGACATTAGGCAGCTGTTTCGTCCAAATTTTCAGACTCTTCAACAGTGAGTGAGTACTCTCTACCCAGTCAGGGATCATGTCGTAAAGGAATGTGAGTGATTTTATTGGTGTTCGTCCATCTCGACGACAATGTGCCTACAGACACGACACTGGCCACTTGGATATAATTCCCTTACATTGAGGTAGACGCCAAAGTTATGTGTCACTGCAACAGTCGTGACAACAGCAACAAAAACCTTTATTATACCAAATACAGGGTATTATATGTAGTCTACACAACCACAGAACTTTAAACCATAAATATATAATCAATATGCCATTAATTGCATGACCTTAAAGATACTTCAAAGTAAACCAGTCAAAAACTGTGAAATCAGATTATTATCCCAGAGAGTGTCTGAATCATGGTTACATCACAGTTAACAAATTGTAGTTCGTCCTACCCTATCGAAAATGGGACTTTTAGGTTATGATACCCAGCTTATCGTTCATTCAGTAGCTACCTGGGCTGGAATTCAGTGATCCCTGAATTCTAACTTTGCTAATTTATTATGATAAGGCGCTACTCTGAAACAATGGTGAGTTGTCAAAAAGCTTGGTCTCATAATCCAAGGAAGGGTCTGGGGTTCAATCTCTAGCGAAGCGTTTCAAACTGGGACAAAACAACTGTCTAGTGCTCCGTGATTTTATCGATTGATAATTTTGAAGGCCAATTTCGCAATGTTCACCTCATGACCCATATGAAGGAGATGCCTAACACTGACACTATTGTAAGCGTTTGTTTCCTTGAGACGTAGGATTTTTTGATACATGTTCAGAAAATCGGAGGTAGGGCCTTCTTTGTGTTCTCACAATTTAACTGCTTCCTCCTTTTACTAATAAATAGGCAAATAAAATAGTAAAAATAATAAAACCCCAACAACTAAAGTTAACAGAGGAATTATGACGTAATAATAATAATAATGCTGGTTATAAGTCGTTGTTTATTTAAAGATTACATATAAGATTTATAAGCTCTTTTTAACATTTGTCTCCTCACACAACATCCTTACTAAATATGGTATAGTTGAGTTTTTTTTGTTTATCTGGCGAATGAGATTTTGTTTGGTTTTAACCTAAGAGAAACCATAAGATATTTATGAATATGGATGATGTTCAACGTTCTAGAAGTTGACTTTAGCCAACTGCTTGCAAGAATTAAAGTGTCTATTGACAACAACAACAACAACAACAACAACAATACCAGTCAGTTGATTTAAAGACACACCACTAAACCTTTTGACTCAGTGAAATTCGAATATTCAAGAGTTCGTTTTTCAGGGATTTGATTCGTTTCAAGTTTCACCATGGATTAATATCAGTTTAAAGAAGCATTGACCCCCCCCGCCCGCACCACCTAATGAGTACTGACTGGAAAGCTGTTTCATCCTAGTTTTGAACTTATTGGCACAGTACACACCCACCCGGCGTTCAAAACTAGGACCTTACGGTTACAAGGTTAACGCCTGTAGACCATTCAATCACTGGGATCCGAAAATTAATCTGGTTGGTGCTCGCTCACTAGTAGTGACTGACTAGATAACGAAGTTGTCTGGAGGGAGGCAGCTCTGATGATAAGCTGTGACCAGTGAGATCTGTTCAGATCGACATGAAATCAAATATTCATCAGAGGTGAAATTGGCTGGTGCTAGTTGTATGCTAAAATCACGAATTGGTAGAAGTTATAATTCATAGGCTGACCACTGAATCGACGCTCAATGACTGAATCGTCTAAGAGCTCGCTTTCTATCCCGGGGTGGGGGGTGGGGTCGAGGAGTCCCAAACAGAGGATGGAACAGCTGTCCAGTTCGCTCTGGTTGTTTTCAATGGTTCTCTAACTGATGATATCACTTTGTGGGCAAACATGAAATTACGATTGATAGGAGAAGACATATATGGGTAGCAAATATTATTCATTCGCACGTGACAGCATTGTACTATCCGTGGTGATTGCAGTTGTATATCATAACTAACCTAGTGTAGAATACCGGAGAATGCCAATGCTTCGAATATTCTTCACCTTCGCTCATCGACTCGCAAATCAATAACACTGTGCCAATTCAAAGCCATCTCATAGAGTTTCATCATCAGCTTTAGTAAGCTTTATACTGTTTCACACATAAGAATATGCTAATATCTAATTGTTGAACAGTTTGGGCTATCCGAGTAGTTTCATAAAGAAATATATGAAAACATCAGAGAAAATACCTGGACTCTGACTGCACATAAGAAACCTCTATTTATTCAGTTACAATTTAATGGTGATTATCAAGTGAGATTCTATTCCAAAAACTTTCAAGGAGTATACGTAGAACATTTTACGCAGCACACCTATGTTTGTCATTCTCTAGCCGACGAATGATTGGGACGCAAACGAAAGATAAGCTTGCTAGTTTTGCAACATCTATGTGTATTTATCAATTCAACTGCACCTGCGGTAACAGTTATGTTGGGTGTACTAATAGACAGCTTAGCCAACGTGTTAGTGAACATCTCCCATCGTAGTTTGGCAAAGGACAGGCAAAAACAATCCGTAGCTCAATTCTGTCGCATTTAATTGATAGTGGTCATGTAGTCGAGAAAACGAAAGCCTTCAAAGTAATTCATCGTATCCCACCGAATCTTTCTAATAGACTTTGTATTCGTCTATTGCACACAGCTGAGTCAGGCGATAGGCATTCGAACTATTAAACCTAAACTATGCATTCAAAAGAAGTTCGTACAGCCATTATCCCTCCTTCGCCGGCCTATCAAGACATAACCAATTAAAGACTTCTACACCACCCCTTGTTTGTATTTTCAACTCCTTTCTTATCACCCCTTAATCTTATCTTCATTATAAACGTGTTTAATTTCCTTCCCTTACAATCTTACATTACTTGATCGGTTCATTTGTTTTTACTAGCCTTTATCGACTACTTCCACCTGAACAATTGTTTGTTTAATCATACTGTTTTTTTCATTATTCGTGTTAACACAGATTGCCTCACTTTTTCATCCTTATTATTGATAAGACGATTACTATTATTATTATTACCATTGCTACTATTATGACTAATTTCAGAATTTATATGCACCATCTTATTATCCTATAGACAAAACACCATGATTGGTTTATATTTAATTTTTATTTGTAAACTCATATATATATATATATATATATATACATATACATATTAGGGTTAAGCCTGATGAGATCTAATTGAAAGCACAATATTGTTCGCTTAAATGAGTGTTGTTCTAAATTAATTATTCATTTCAAAATAAACTGATTTCTAGTATTTTCTAAAATTTTTATTTTAGGTCCATCTACTACTAATAATAGTAGTAGTAACTATCTAAGAAAAAGTTTCAATAAAGATAATATACCTTATCCTGAAACGCTCAATAATTTCAATGATTACTCATCAAAGTCGCTATGGAGACAAAAATATCTTACAACAAGTAATAATCTATATTGAATGAAGAAATTTGATCAGTAGTTGTGAAACTGTTGCTCATGTCTATCTTAAGGTGTTATTCTTCTCTTCAATTTAATAAGTCCGGAGGGTGGGGGGGTGGCGTAGAGTGCTCAGTTGTATTTTTTTGTCTTTGCTGTGTCCAATGTTCAACAAGAGTTAATAATTTCTGTTTTTTTGTTTTGACTGTAATTATTTGAGATAATAGTCAACTATTTGTCTGATATGTACACATAGAAGTATATTCTATCTGTTCATCTATTTTGTCCTGGAATTCTTTAGTAATATGACTGAGTACATATATATATATTTCAATACACCTTCTAGTTTCTTAATTATCTTATGGAATTATTTTTAACCTACCTTCCCCCCCCAGACACACACACACTTACACACAGAGACATACAGACCTTTCCCCCTTCATCATTGTACTTGTTTTGTAATTGCTTGGATCAAAATTGACGATCAGGTATCATTGAATTTATGATCATTATTATTATTATTGCTGTTAGATCATGAACATGAACACTTATTTATTTATTTTTATAATGGATTTATTCAAATTTAGAAGCATACATAATTATATATACATTACTTTAATAAAACAAATTGTAACAATATTATTACATAATCTCAAATCTCTTGTTATTTCTTAATCCCAATTAACTAGAATTACGTATATATATATATATGTATGTATATATGTACTGTTAAACGTTTTTGTAGGCGTTTGAATGATTGATTGACTAGTGAATCAAACATTCTAGAATAGTAGTCATAAAAAAGACACGATAAAGACAAAACATAAACGAGAGAAAAGTTTCATCAAACTGATATTCTTCATATTTCCCTCCTCGTCCTCCTGTTTGTTGTTGTTGATGTTATTGAAACATTGATCAGTTGAAGAAATAATAATGCGAAACAGCACAGAAAAAGGCGAAAGAGACACAGAGACAGAGTAGTCTGTAAGTCAGTGAGTTAAACAAGAAAAAAAAACGGAAAGTTCTCAAAGACAAGCTGTGAAAGCTGTGAAACAAAAAAAAGATACATACAATAATTAATTAATTAATTAGTAGAAGAATAGAAAACCTAAAAGATAATTAAATTGAACTTTTGAAACGAGTTGAAAAGTATGCAACCAAACAAAAGACACGAAGAAAAAGAAGAAGAGAAACTAGTAAGTAGTGTGGTGTTGTAATGTGATTAGGTAGGTTATCAGCGATATGAGTAGTATATTAGTAGTAGTAGACAAAGTTTTCATTAAAGAATTAAATTAATTGTACACAAGTTTATCATGGCATTTTAAACAACTGAAATAGTCAACTAAATAATCCATCCGCTTCTATTGATCATTGAATAATAAATAATCTATTGGTAATCTAATTTCATCAACAGATATATATATATATATATATATATATATATATATATATATATAATATTTACATATACATAAATTCATACAATATTATTATACATACATGAATGAATGATAATGAAAAGTAAGGACGAGAAAGAACCAGAGAACCAACCAACCAGCCAGCCAGCGCCACCACCACCACCACCAACAACAACAACTACAAGAAGACGAAGAAGGAAGCACTAGTTAAAGTATTCATACACTGCAGAAATGGAGAAGGAGGAGGAGAAGAAGAGGAAGATTAAGTTAAAGTGGACAAAAGTGCTCACTCAATACGCCCGCCTTCATATACAACACACACACACATACATACACACACACATGACTACTATTCGTCTGTTTCATAATCCTATTCTCTTTTTTTTATAATTCATGCAAAGACTCTTCTTGCTAAATAAAAACCACGGTCATTCAATTGTTTAAATTAAATTGTTTAACAAACTAAGGGAAGGAAATAAAAATTGAACTGTACTGTTATACATACATAGTTATTATCATTATTAATTGTGATTATTTTTCTTTGTATTGCAATATAAAATGGACCCAATATGTTTTACAGTAGACTCTGCTGAAATTAAAAACAGTACAGTGAATGATTAGAATCACTATTTAAAGTTATATATGCTACATTAAATTTAACATATATATATACATATATATTCAAAAGAATGGATACTGAACAAAGAGTACTCTTTTCGATAACCCCTTCATCATCAGGCTCTACAGTTATACACATACATCATAGTGAGTGAATGATTGAATTAGTGTTATGAACAACAACATTAATGTTGCTGTTTAAATAACATCGAATCAATAATATTGATAGATTACAGCTCAATAGCATCAAAATAACAATAAGCTGAATGTCAGAAAAATTACGAGAGATGATCATAATACAAATTCATGAGTTTATAGTTTCTATTGAAGGCCAAGGCAGGAGTAGGGGCTGGCTGGACTTGCTTCTTTTGAACACAGAGCACTGGTTGTTTGAGGCGAATTGCAGTAGCCTCTGCTGTTCGGAGCATGCGGTGTTTCGATGTTTTCGGTAATTTATTTGGCACCCGGTACAATATAGAGAAGGATTCTTCCACGCTGGTTGGCTGACTTTGTGTCCTGTTTGCACTAGATGTTCCAATATCGAGCTGTTAATAGTTTTCACTACACCTTTACTTAGCCATGCTGGGAGATGTTCTCGAGAGAGCACGAAAAATCAAGTTTCTAGAGCAACGGCCAACATAACTGGCTCCACCGCAAGCGCAGTTGAATTGGTAGATACAATTTGAAGTGGCCAGCTAGTCTAGGTACTTCGTCTTTCGGTCGAGGAATCACCATCGGTCGTGTAGAGAATAAGACGTGTATTTCGCCAGCATTAAACGTTCTTTGAACTGGTTTTTTTTAATTTCTTCGTAATTATCTCACTTGGTAAATCGCCGTTGAATTGTAGTCGTATATAAAGTAGCTTCTTGTTTACAGATAGTGAGTAGTCCTTTTCCGCCACTTTCTTTGTCATGTGTTTCTCGATAAATTTTTCGGGATAGCTATTTTCGGTCAAAGTATCATATACAATGCTTAATTCATCTTCAATTACTTCTTCTGAGCATAGAGTTCTAACTCTTTGGCTGAGGGTCTTGACTAAATTTCTTTTGTACTTGATAGGAACGAAGCTGTAAAAATGTGCATATTGTCCTGTCCAAGTGCTTTTTCTATGCAAATTTCTTTTTATGCTACCATCTGGTTTTCTTGTAAGTAGGACATCCAGGAACGCAATTCTGTTTTGGGATTCCTTTTTGCACGTGAATTTCATAGCAGAATTTACTTCATTGAATTCAGTAATTAATGTACTTCTATCAGAACCATTATCACAAAGAATAAAGGTTTCATCCATATATCGGCAATAAAATGAGAGCTTATTGATAAGGTTGTTCAGAGGTCCGTTTTCTAGCTTACTTAGAAAGAAATCAGAAAAAGTGGGATCCAATCGGGAGCCCATCGCCACCCCGTTCACTTGTCTGTAAAGCTTGCCGTCAAATTTGAATTTTAAATTCATGGTACATCTTAATATCAATTCTTTTAGGGTTTCAGTATTGATGCCAATGTTTATATATATATATATATATATATATATATATATATATTATCCACAGTTTCCCTTAATTCCTATAGGAACATAGGGCTTCAGCCGCACGTCTCCATCGCACTTGGTTCCCTGCCAACGTTTTCATCCCTCTTGGCTCCACGTCTGCCCCCACATGCTTTTATCTCCTCTTCACATGCGTGACTTCCTCCATATTAGTCGCGAACTGACGACCAACTAACTCGCCACTTCCCATTCGGATTCCATTCGAGCGATGGCCTAGAGTGTGATGTCCCTCGCTTGATGGTTTGTTTTCTCAGAGTATGGCCAATCCGCCTCTTCCAGTTCTTCCTGCATATTTTTTTGCACAATTGATTCCTTCCCAGAGATCCCTGTTGGTGATCATTTTTGGCCGGCCATCTGATCTTGAGCGAAGTATTGAGCAAATACAGCTGTTGGTGAAAGTCTGTAGATTGTTTGAAGTGCCATTTGTGATACGGCGCCAAGTCTCTGATCCGTATAGGAAGTAGTACTGACTTCATACTGGAGTTGAAAATCCGCATTTTTACTCCTTTACTTACCGAGAGAAATATGGAGCTTAATAGTTGGGCTTTGAATTTTCAATAGCTAGTCTCACACGCCCAACCTCCCTGTTTACCATTGGGCTTACTTCTACTAGGAGTAGCTAAGGGGAGGTTTAGAAGTGCACCAGTGGCTCCGGATCGAGCCCTGGGCCACATGATGTGAGCATCCAACCGCTGAACCCTCGACGAACAATATAAATGTATTGATGGTGTTAAATGGTTGGAAGCAATCGGCAGGAACCCTTGGACCTGGGTTTCGTGCTAGTTGGCACTCATCAGCAAGGCGTATCTGCAACCTTGAAGGAACTCATGTCCCTTCTCAGATTCGAACCCGCGTCACCCAGTGCCGCCTGCAGTCAGAGACGTTACCACTGAGCTATTCGGGCCCGCGATTGACCTCCTGTAGGACTGTAGTGGATATTTTGATTTGACACTAGTAACTAGTGTGATGCGTCTAGTCCTCTGATTGGTGTAGACTGAATTCTATCAGTCAGGTTGTAATGTGACCACCATTCTAGCTAGCTGGCCATCACGGTGCACATTGATTTGATGGTGTTAGATGGTTGGAGGCAATCGGTAGGAACCCTTGGACCTGGGTTTCGTGCTAGTTGGTACTCACCAGTCAGCAAGGCGTATCTGCAACCTTGAAGGAACACTAGTTACTAGTGTCAAATCAAAATATCCACTACAGTCCTACAGGAGGTCAATCGCGGGCCCGAATAGCTTAGTGGTAACGTCTCTGACTGCAGCACTGGGCGACGCGGGTTCGAATCTCGGAAGGGACATGAGTTCCTTCAAGGTTGGAGATACGCCTTGCTGACTGGTGAGTGCCAACTAGCACGAAACCTAGGTCAAGAAAGGCTTCCAATGGCCGATTGCCTCCAACCATCTAACACCATCAAATCAATGTGCACCGTGATGGCCAGCTAGCTAGAATGGTGGTCACATTACAACCTGACTGATAAAATTCAGTCTACACCAATCAGAGGACTAGACGCATCACACTAGTTACTAGTGTCAAATCAAAATATAGATGTATGTAAATATATACTATCATTTGAAAAGGTTTTACCGAGCAATGATTATTTCGAATGTAGAGAAACTAAACTAAAGTGATGTCATGCAAAACTAACTACCTAGTGAAAGAGGAAGTTATTTGATCATAAATTACACTGATTGCTCTGAAATTCTAAGGGCTATATAGACTACCACATTTATTTAGTATTGTGAGTGTATATTTTTGAGCAATCAAAAAATGTATATAGGCAGTATAATTTTTCGAATACTTCTGGATTTAAAGGCGTCTTCTAAACGATGTTCGTTTGTACTGAAATCTATCAATGATAGAGCTTATTTACTCAATGTAGTAGTGAAAAAATGCATAACAATATGTTTTTTGTTGTGTAAAAGATTGCATCATATACCTTCACTTAGTACATGAGTTTAACCACTCACCACCTTATACCAATCTAGTGACTCTCTCATCAATCAGTGTATTGATTCCATTCCTATGAGAGATCAGTCTTGATTGAGCGCTGAGTGATTTGGGTTCGATTCCTAAATGGGAAATCAATTCGTTTTAGATTGTAGATATGCCTAGCTGATGAAATCTAAGTTCATAGTTTCATTCCGATTAAATTCAATGATCTGATGTTAATTTTAGGGTGTATCATGACGGCAAGCACTAGCTAGCCTATTGACAACATTGCAAAACTTGACTGAAACAATTCAGTCGGTACCAACACCTGTGAAAGTTACACCCGAGTGATGGACGGATTAATGTCATGATTGGTCGTCATCTCCCAATAATTCCACACTGTTTTGTATTTGTATACAACTCACCACATTTGTCACATAAAACACTATTTGATCTTATCATTCTGAAATTTAATTTTTATTATTCACAGCTTTTGATTTACTAATTAGTCTTCTTGCCCGATTATATTGACATTGAAGTAAACCTACTACTTACTGACTATTGGGTAGAATGCATTAAACTCGGAGGATTTACAAGAATGTATCCGTTTCCTGTAAATTCTAGGTGTCCATAAACCTTTCTGCCCGACTTTTGAACTATGGGTAATAAGCCAACATCTTCGCCTGCTATCTACCCTTTCTTTGAAAAATTTTCAGCTTGTCTCTCTTTCTTCCTGCGTCGTTGGTTGAGTGGTAGAATTGGTTGTTAACCATGCAAGTCGCCTGGGGCTTGATTCCCTGTCCAGTTGTAAGTCCAACGAAATGGGGAGAGGTTGGGGGTGGTGCTAGCAACCTGACATCTTAAAAAAAGGAACGAACACCACTGCAACTGAAACTTCAATGCTCAGGCTTGAAACCCTGTGTTCCCCTGAAGATACAAAGATTCTCTTTTTGTTTTTCAGGGACGTACCAACCGTTCCTTCATACGACGAAAGATATACACACATACAGCTCCCATAGCCGTAGTTTTTTCAAACCCCCGTAAATCAAGGTTCGAATTATTCACATAGCACGTTCCGGTGAACTGGAATCTCATGAAAACATCAATTGCATTTTAACTGCCCGGTTAGATGGAGATTTCCACCACATGCACTGATTTTTGTCTTGCCTGTCTTCTTCCTTTCTTTATTCGTGTGTCAACGGCACCGTGCTTTGCTGGTTGTTGTTGTTGTTGTGAATAGTTATTATGACAATAGACTCGAAAAGCTATTAGTTGTATTGACGGTAATAACAAATCTGGCTACATGTGCACCATGGAGACGGACCTTTCATACTTGAAGAAATTGATACAGAGAAGCGGCTGAAATGATAGACTTGCTCGCTGGTCTAAGGAACGTTGCCTCCTACTGATTCACCTCCAACCAATGACAATGTTATAAGTAGTATATCCGAATTTATCTATGATCCAGGTACGCACATTCCTTTCGATACCTGGTTCTGCAGAAGCAAATACCCACGCAGAGTGGATTTTGCAATCAAAGACGATACCTCGAAAGTTAGCCTTTAACCACCGAAGTTGGCTGAAGATGAGTTAGAAAAAAATACTTCAGTCTGATTCTCCTTCAAACGCCCAGTGACAGAAAATTTGGGAAAAAAAACCGTTCAGACACCCCTGCATAAGTTGGATGACCATAGATCGTTGTATGAAACAAGGGCTGAATGGAAACGACAGTATTCACAATCATTTGGGCATTCATTGTTAGCCACCAATCTGAACGGTTAAACTTCACTGATGGAAAATCTCTGGGTAACCTAACTCAACATCCAATTTTCGTTTTTCAAGTATTGGTTTGTAGGGATTTGACTGATTTAATTGAAATTTTGATTTTCCCTTTGATTGATTGGACCGAAGTGCTCGGTCTCAGGTTGACATGTCGGCTTCTTGTACAGATGCTTCGACGATGTCTGGGCATTTAAATAGTATTTAATTGATGGATGATGACTAGCAGTGAAATCCAGGATGTGTATTTCGGCTGTCCTATTTGGGAGCTGACATTGGTTAGAGAACAATTGGAAAGCCTGGGAGTACTAAACAGCTGTTTCGTCCTATTTTGGGACTCTTCATCAGAACGCACCCACCAGGATTCGAACCCAGCACCTTCGAATCCTGGTGGGTGCGTAGTGATGAAGAGTCCCAAAATAGGACGAAACAGCTGTTTAGTACTCCCAGGCTTTCCAATTGTTCTCTAACCAATGTCAGCCAGTGATGAAATCTTGTAACCAATTTTCGTTTTATATTACAGTCTAGCTTCTCTAGCTCATTATCTGAATCAAAAGTGAATTATATATATATATATATGAAGAAATTTGGGATTTGCTCACATTTAAAAACGTATTGAATGTATCATCCACATATCTCCATCATAATCTGTAAGCAGGATAAAACGTTCTCGGAGCTCTGTGTTCCTAACTATTTGTCTTTATGTATACTATTATTTGGGGCGGAGGGGAGATCAAGTATTTCAAACACGAGAAAATCAGTTAAATGGAAGCTTTTTGAAATAGTTCCAAGAAACTTTAATTGAATTTTAGATTTTCCCGTCGATTGATTGAACCGAAGTGCTCTGTTTCAGGTTGACATGCCTGTCGGCATCTTGTGCAGATGCTTCAACGATGTCTAGGCATATAATCAGAAGTTAATTGGTGGACAGTGACTAGCAGTGGAATCCAGGATAACGCGCATTTCGGCTGTCCTATTTGGGACTGGTCAGTCGGCTGGATGTACCTGCATTTCCCAGTGAGTGATGATGTTCCCACCACCATCCAGGCTAGAACCCAGTGCCCATAGTTTCCAAAACCAAAGCGTTATCCGCTAGACCTCTTGAACCATGAGAGCTATCTCTTGTGCTACGGGTCATGTTAATTTAATTGAATTTTAGGTTTTTTTCACTGGGAAATGCAGGTACATCCAGATGACGAGTCCCAAATAAGACAGCCAAAATGCGCGTTATCCTGGATTCCACTGCTAGCCACCATCCACCAATTAAATTCCAATTGATTAAAAATGCCCATTCAAATTTTCAAAAGAATGGATACTGGACAAAGAGTACTCTTTTCGATAACCTACTCATCATCAGGCTCTACAGTTATACACATACATCATAGTGAATGAATGAATGAATTAGTGTTATGAACAACATTAATGTTGCTGTTTAAATAACATCGAATCAATAATCACATTGATAGATTACAGCTCAATAGCATCAAAATAACAATAAGCTGAATGTCAGAATAATTAGGAAAGATAATCATAATACAAATTCATGAATTTATAGTCTCTATTGAAGACCCACCAGGTCATTAGTAGTGACTGGCTGGACTTGCTTCTTCTGAACACAGAGCACTGGTTGTTTGAGGCGAATCACAATAGCCTCTGCTGTTTGGAGCATGCGGTGCTTCGATAATTTTGGCAATTTATTAGGCACCCGGTAGATTATAGAGTAGGATTATTCCACGCTGGCTGGCTCTGTGGCCGGCCAGTTTGCACTAGGTGGTCCAATATTGAGCTTTTAATAGTTTTCAGTACACCTTTACTTAGCCATGCTGGGAGAAGTTCTCGAGTGAGCATGAAAAATCAAGTTTATAGAGCAAGGGCCAATATAACTTGCTCCACCTCAAGCGCAGTTGAATTGGTAGATACAATTTGAAGTGGCCAGCTAGTCTAGGTACTTCATCTTTCAGTCGAGGAATCACCGTCGGTCGTGTAGAGAATAATACGTGTAGTTCGCCAGCAGTAAAAGTTCTTTGAACTGATTTTCTTAATTTCTTCGCAATTATCTCGGTTGGTATATCGCCCATGAACATCTGGTGCAAACAGACACAAAGCCAGCGTAGATGAATCCTTCTCTCTCATTTACCGATTGCCAAATAAATTACCAAAAACATCGAAGCACCGCAGGCTCCAAACAGCAGAGGCTATTGAAATTCACCTCAAACAACCAGCCCTCTGTATCCAAAAGAAGCAAGTCCAGCCATCCCCTACTCCTGCCTTGGCCTTCAGCAGAAACTATAAACTCATGAATTTGTAATATTATCTTTCCTAATTTTTCTGACATTCATTGAGCTTATTTTATGTTGATGCTTTCGAGTTGTATTCTATCGATATTATTGATTCGGTGTTATTTAAACAGCAATATTAATGTTGTTCATAACATTAATTCATTCATTCATTCACTATGATGCATATATGTATATATACATGATACACAACTGTAGAGCCTGATGATGAATAGGTTATCGAAAAGAGTACTCTTCGTCCAGTATCCATTCTTTTGTAAATTCCAATTCCACGAAACCCCTTTATGCTGTTGTGGCTGTTGTGCTCCACTAGCCTAATGTATTGCATTTTATCAGTGGATAGTTAAGCTCCTTTCTGGTTCAAGTGGATTACATATTTAGTCAGTGGGATGTAGGTACACTCAGTCTAACGAATTCTAGACTGGATAAAAAGGAACGCCTTAGATACTCCTGTGAAACATGGTTTTTACAAAAGAAAATAAAAATGACAATAATAATAATAATGGTAATAATAATAATAAATTTACCTAATAATTATAAAAATTCCATTGAGCTTCCATTACGAGTTAGATGATATGTTGAATAATTATTGATTTTTGATAAATCTTCGTTTAAATTTGATAAAATAGGCTTTGGTGCAGGTGGTGGCGGTGGTGACGGGGCTAAATGTCTTAAAGGCAGATCACAGTTTTCAAGATATGTCCAGTTCTGTTTACCTGTTGTCTTATGCTCCATACTGCTGAGATCAGAGTCTTTTTTACCACCACCACCACTACTACTGCTACTACTACCGCCAATCAACTGTAAAAATGAAAAAATAAGGGAAAAATACAAGAAACGACAAAAAAATTAAAAACATAACTAACCCTTAAAAACCAAACTAAAGAAAAACTAATCTGATGCTCGCTAGTCACTTGCTACAGCAGCAGGATGGAGTTTCCTGGAGTCAGTTCTGGTGAGAAATGGTGACCAGTGAGGTCCAGTTAGACGACACGTATGTGAGGATGGATGTCCCACCAACGACAATGGTTGGGGTCGCGCTAAATGCATCACGAATTGGTAGAAGTTAGAATTCATGAGCGAATACATAGGTCGAACGGAAAGACGATTGTCTACTCGAGCATTTGCCAAAATGGTTGAAAACAGCTGAGTTCAAAGTGCCAAAATCCTCAATAACAAAACATCTTGTGGACTACGGTGGACATGATATCGACGCGGTCAAGTCATTCACTATTGTTAGCAGACAAAGAAACAAGAAGATGTTTGCAATTGCATAGGCTTGTGTAATTCGAGTTTATAAACCAGGTCTTTGTGTACAAAAGGACATGGTCGTGACTCAGAATCTACCATGGTAATACGTTTTACTTATTGTTCTTTACTTATTATTATTATTCTACCTCTTATTATTATCATTATTATTATTATTCTTGATTCATTTAAAACCATCCTTTATCAGTAGCATTATCTTAACCCACTTCAACACTTTTATTATTGTTATTATAACTATTAGTGTCGATATTACTCTGTTTGCAATTCTTGTTATATTCCCTAATGTCTAATTGTTTATCTAAGTGATGTAATTGAAGCGCAATGCAATTTATCTTAATTTTGATCTCTCATACTCTCTCTACCCTAATTTATTTGAGCATGACCTGGAAAACATTCGCACCTGTCGTCTTTCTGCATGACTAATTCAATGTAGTCAGTCTTATATCTCCAAATGTAATTTCGAAAGTATATATATCCGTGTGTGTAGAGTATTCAGATGATGAGTTCTACCGAAATCTGATGAATTCATTAAATCCTGCTTTATTAACCTTTAATGCTTGTTTTAAATTCGTATCAGGAAATAAATGTTTTCAATTCATGAGCCATTGAATCGGGTCCCATTGGCTGAATGCTATACGAGCTTGCCTTGTGACCAGAAGGTCCTGGGTTCGAAACCTCTGTGGTGGGTGCGAACCGCCGATGATTCCCTGACTAGTAATCCCAGTACTCCCTGGTATTCAATGGTTCTCTAACTGATATCAATCCGTGATCAACTCGTAAAAACACAACTAACCCTTAAAAACGAAACTAAAGAAAAAAAGACGCAATATGAGTGATAATAATGACTGATTTTTACAGAAAATAACACAGTCCAGACGACTGATGTTAGTTACTTGATTTTCTGATTCAGTTTCAAGATGGAATTTCGCACTGAAGTGCGTCAGTTCAAGTTACCATGGACTTCATCTAACACACAAAGTTAGACAAAAGACAGAGAGAGATAAAACAGGGATTCAGAAGTACAATAATGAGCAGTTGTCTGAAAGTGGACACAGAGATGACAGCAAATATACTGACTCCATTATTGCAAAAGGTCCGGAAGGAGGGAAAGGTACCCACTGACTGGAGGAAAGGTTACCTTGTCAAACTACCAAAGAAGGGCGACTTAGGACTCTACAAGAACTGGTGAAGAATCATGCTCCTGTCAATGCCAAGTAAAATCCTGGGTCGCATCATCCTGGAGAGATTAAAGGACACACTGGATGCAGAACTCCGGCCAGAACAAGCTGGATTCAGGAAAGTCAGGCAAATCATGTTCTGACCAAATTCCAACTCTACGCTTCATCACCACAGAACAAAGTATGGAATGGCAATCAAACCTCTACCTCAACTTTATAGACTTTGAGAAAGGCCTTCAACAGCATTAACCGTAAAGTAATTTGGAAACTACTCGAGTACTACGGCGCACCCCAAATATTCATCAACTTCATTCAACAGCTGTACGACAATGGAACATGTCAAGTGATCCACAACAGGAAACAGCGAGGCTTTTGGAGTAAACACAGGAGTCAGACGACAAGGGTGACTGCTTATTATCACCAATGAATGATATTTCTAATTGTAGTGGACTGACCGGATTATGCGTCAGACAGTGGGTGGGAAACGAGAAGACAGGGATATCCTGGACAGACAGACGTGAAGAACCTAGAAGACCTGGATTTCGCGCGTGGATGATTCATGTTTGATGTCACACAAAATCGAAGACTTACAAGCGAGAACCGACTGACAAACTGGTCGAAGAAGCAGTCGGCGAAGACACGACTCCAGGTGAACATAGGTGAACAAGACGGAGGTGATGAAAATAACCAACCAACCAACCAACAACAACAGAAACAGCAGAAACATCCAGCGCCAATCACCATCAAAGGGAGGGATCTCAAAGAGGTTACTTCATTCATTCACTTATCTAGCATTAAGCATTGTCTCAACTACAGGAAGTGGGAACGGACGGGGATGTCAGACCGTGCGAGAATCACCGGGAAGGCGAGAAACACATTCATTCATCAACCTGGAACCAATCTTATCTGGAAATCTTCGTCACTCAGCCAGCATCAACAACAAAATTCGGTCGGATTTTCAATACAAACAACGCCAAGTCAGTCAGTTCTGCTATACGGATCAGAAACTTGGCGGGCGGGTCACAAAGAATATTCCCAACAGCCTGTCGCACACCATCAACCAACAACTGTCTTCGCTGGCTCTATACTGAAGATCAGATGGCCGGGCGGGCCGGAAAGAATCACCAACAACAAGAAACTACGGCTGGGAGCACACAAAACAAGAACCAATCGCCGCCCAACTAATATGCAGGAGAAAATGGAGGTGGATTGGACACTCGCTCGCTGAAGAGACCGCTGGGTGACCGTGCGCGCGTCAGGCCATTGCTCGAGTGGAACCAGGCCGAAAGGGAAGCACGCGGCGAGTGGGACGTCAGTGCAAGGGTGACATGGAGGAGATGGTCTGAAGAGAGAGGAGTTGAAAGAGTATGGACTAATATGGATGGAGGTGAAAAGTACAGCCGAAGGAAGACAGAAGTGGCAGTTGGAGACGTGCAGTTGAAGCCCTATGTTCCACTAGGAACCCAAGGGAAGAATAATAATATAATTGGTTCATAACATCCTAAGGACCCAAACCAGGTAGTGCAGAGCTTCCTAAGTCTTCACGGACTGATCCCATGTTCTAGTCTGACCACCATTAACTCTTTTCCAACCTAATCCAATATGTCGGGTAGCATTACATGTCTAGGAAGGCGATGCAATGGCATGCGCAATGCAACACATATCCTACCCATCTCAATCGACTCGCCCTAACAATCTCATTGACTGAATTACCTACCTTAGCTACCACTTTTTGCCTAGCGTTAACATTAATCACCATGTTATCCTACTTTACACAGTAGATAGAACGCAAACACCTGTGGTCAACGCTAGCTAGCCTTTTCATATCTTCCTCTCTGAGTAATAATAATGATAGTCTTGTTCCAAACAGTACTTTTAGTACAAATATAGAATTTTCAGCATGTAGTAGTACAGTATTGCATCTAACTTTCACATAATAGGGGTAATAATTAAATCAGAGCATTTTGTTTTATTCCTTCACGTTCCCAGTGGAACATAGGGCTCCAGGCTAGTGGCTTAAAGTTTCTGTAGCAGTGTTTGTCTTTACAGGATGGAGTCGCTAGCCTCATGACCAACCTTCCCTCTTTGCCAGTTCTATTACTGACTCAGCGAGGTAAAGGAGTTCGTCGGTGGTCGGGGGTCGAACCCCGAACAATGTGCATGGCCGGCGAGCATCCCAACCGCTGTGCCACCGACGCCCAAAACAAGAGCATTTTTACATTGCTAATATTGTTCAATAAGGATATGAATATAAAATTAAGCGGAAATATTACTAGCAATGTGATAATGAAAAGAATAGGTTCGTTTTGCTTAGAATTCCGTAGTAGGTTGACCATGTCTGACAGTCATAGATTAGGTCAGTAATTTATCCCTGCCTAGAATAAAATTTTACACTAGGATGTATGTGTAACCCGTGTTATTTATGAAATCCTTAATGTTGGTGTCGACTGAATTTTATCCATCAAGCTATGAATTGTTTTACTAACCTGGATGACTCATTGCTACAGTACACTTTCATTTGATGGTCAGTAATTCAAGTTGATCGACAGGAGGGCTTAAACCTAAGTTTTTCCGCTTCTAGATGTTATTCGTCAGTAAGGAGTGTTTATTCAGTGGTACCAGTGGGAGGTGACGCAAATTTGAATCTGTGAGGGAACATCAATCCCTTTGAGGCGGCAGATGTGCCTTTTTGACAAGTGTCTGCAAGTATGAGACTGCAAGGTTCAGGAATTTCTGTTGATTATCTCAGATCTTTAAATATTCCCATTATTAATATTAGAACAAGACGTATATAAGCGAACAAAACTGTTGTTTTCAATTAGATCTTCTTCAGACTTTACTCTAATTTACATAGATTTATATATAAAAAATTTAACCAGTGACGGTGATTTTGTGGATCAAATAATAATAATAATGTGGTAAATGTTTTGAACGTAGTTAATAACGATGATTATAATGATAACAAAATATTGACAATATGTTAGACAATTCAATAAATAAATTAGGTCAAATCTTAAAAGTTACGTAATACTAAAGGTGAAGTGGACAGATAATCAGAGTTTAAATAAATATCATAAAAGTACGAAGGAGATGGAAAATAAGAAAGGGTGGGAGGGTTTTGAATAGAATTCACCTAGGCTAAGCCAAGGGAGAGACGAAGGAAGAACAAACTTTCTTTTGTCGTATGCAAAGAGTAGGCTTGTTCTCTCGAGTTAATTCCCATAGCTTCGGCTAAGTGTAAAAGACGGGTTCTGATTCCGTTCGAAAGACTCGATGGAATGCAATAGATAACTTTGAAGGCGGCACTATTTTTGTCTACTTGATGACCACTATCATCAATCAAATGAGCCAAAA